GTTGGCCAGTGCAGGTGGAGCAGAAGTCCTGCCGACGTTCCTTCGCAGCGTGTTCAACACTTGCAAAAACTGTAGGCGTCACACTCCTTCGCGTCAGCCTGCTTTTCTGTCCATTACAGCAGCATCTTTGAGTTCCCATTTTCACTCTGGTTCTCTATCTATTTTGTAGGTGCTTCTGACAAACATTTGATCGACTGCCTGGTGCTGGTTTGTGACTTTTTGGTAAGTCGTCGCAGATCCGTATAGCAGTGGAGGAGACCGCAGAATCCCCGCTTTTTTAACACTGTCATATAATTTGTAATTTGGACTCAGACGCAATTTAAAAACCGATTTTCTTAAAGTACTTGCAACATTCAAGGGTACGACATATTACTGTTGGTTATCTAGATATTCCTTTATCTTTTTTGTCAACATCTTACCCATTTTTCAAGCACCTCCTAATGCATATGACAAAATTATTTTTTTTGTCAACTTTATTTTGCAACCTTTTTTTTTGAAAAATAAAATGTCTAAACTACTCTATAGTTGCGGCAGTAGACGTTGTTCATACTTGATCCACACATGCAATTAGCAGGCCATTAAATGTTAATATTTTTATGCCCTTTTGCACAACAAAGGCGATCTGTAACAATTTTTGCATATTCCACTACAATTTATGCATTCCTGTACAGTTTCAATGGAGTTTTTTGAGGGCTTCGGTTATTTACTTCAAATATGCTGACTGATAACTGCATCAATGCAACTAACCGGTCGCATTGTGAGACTCAAGTCCCGTTGTGTCCTGAGGTCCAATCATGAGCGCCCCCCGCCCGCCAGCCGCCACTCCGTGACTAGCATTATAAGAGGAATAGCATTACCGACGAAGACGAGAGAGACCGAAATGCTCCTTTCCTTCTTATTGGCCATCATCAGTCAACCACACCCGACTCCCAGATTTTGCTGCCTTTGGGGCTCGAACCCCTGACCTGCTGGTTAGAAGTCCAATGCCATAGGCATTTATCCAAGGGCTCGTTTTCCGTTCGATTATGATCGTGTATATTGACACCAGTTGGAGGGCGCTCACTGATTGCATTAACACTTTGAGTGCGACGTGCGCCATATGTGGTACATGCAATGATGTCCCAAACTGCGACGTGCGCCATATATGGTACACGTATAGGCCTAAAGTAATGCAGGTTTGAAAACGCCGCCCCAGGGGCATACAGGCTATTTTGAGAGTCGCAGTCAGAGTGTTAAGGGACATGTTCGTCCCGTTCTGCCAGCAGCGCCCCAACAACTAGTTTTAAAGAGAGAGAGAAGCATTAACGAAGAAGACAGAAATGACCATTGTATGCTCCCTTATCTTGATCACTAATGCTAATTAATCTGTAATAATATCAACCAAAATATTGTGTACTTCCAAGTAATTATCTTCAAAATAATTAAGATGCTGTTTGTGAATTATTACTACGTCATGTAGGTTTTTCTTTTATTTACCCACCCGAGAGAACCTTTGAAGTTCCAGGTCATTGTTTGATTCAATTCAGAACGTACTGTGACACGAATAAACAACAAAACCTCCCTTTCAAAGGCGTCATATATAGGTTTTTTTCTAGGCTTTCTGTTTACACAATCCACTCGTTAAGGAATTCTTGCGGAACGTGGAACTAGGCTGCAAAGGAAACACTATCAATAATAAGTCGATGCCTATTCCTTTTCTCTTCCCTCCGTTTCTTTTATAGGAATTCAAGAAAACCAGCGCCAACCAGTCCGCGATCGTGGAGGCCACTCTCAAGGACATCCTCTCTGAATTTCTAACGCGGACCCGCCCCAGCCGGACTCACCGCCTCATCCTTGAGCGGCTATTATCTTCTTCTCCGGTCAGTGTGCTTATATTATCCCCCGTGTACTGTCCGCAACTAGGTGAAGTGTTTTATTAAAAAAAAAACTAAGGACGAATGAATTTCTCATGCTACCACCAGATGCATATCGCCCCTCACGAACGCAATTGTCTCTTTACGATAGGGTGTTTTGGTGCTGGTCCACTTGCCGGCTCGTCCATTGTTCTTAGGGGACATAATCCGGGCGATAATAATAAGTAATTCGATGGCTCTTCTAAATAGCTATCCAGCATCGCACGTGTTTCTGTTTAGCTAGCACCTAAAGTCTAGTGACAGGATCGTGTGCGACCGAGTACGATGGTTCATCTGGGTTCGGCATCCACGTTTACGTCACCTGTAGAATTTGACCCATCACGCGGCTGGATAGGCTGATCAGTAGTAACAACATCTCGGGGGAATTGACTACACTTAGTCTATGTCCCTCTGAACGGTCAGTTATAAACGACAAACAAGTGTTTAATGAATGCTTGCCTTCTCATGCTTGTGGACATTAGGCTCGACTCCATCCCTCCGGGTGCTTGTACTACCTAGAGGTTATATGCACATTGGTGCACATACTGTTGCCCCAAGTCGGTTTCAGACATATCTGTCATTAAAACTGGCTTTCAAATGCCTAAGTCGCACAAACCAACATGGTCAAACTCTTCCTCTCTAAAAAGAAGAACGTGCGATCACTGGACCGTGAGGTTTATTGACCTGACTTTTTGGATTTTTGCTCAGGGGCCGGTCGCTGATAAGGGTGATGGAGGCGCAACGGGTACAGTGTTTTTATGACACAGCTGCCGTGCTTCGCGTTCATCGTTGGCAATCGTACATACTGCGATGCCGGTTCGGTAGTCCACGTCCGAGTCGTTAATTGTCCGAATCTTTAATTGTCATTGTCGATTTTTGGCGTGATAATTACTCGGCCATTTGGCTCGTTATCACGGGACTGCGTCCTCCCCCCAAGGGGGTGGCTAAATACTCCGCGTAGGATCCGGGAGATCACCGCCCTTGCGGACCAGAAATCCAGGACTCGAACAGTTCACGGCTTAGCACGCGGTTGTCAGACCCTGCGAGACTTTTGG